TAAAGGGATCATTCACTGATCAGCAGCTAATAAGTCCTGTGATATTTTTATAGAGCAGTAGGTAATTCAGTTGAATCAGCTGTGGTGGAAATAATAATTAGATGTAACCTCAGATCGTCTGAGCTCATCTCAAGGAGAATAGCAGTCACAGTCGTCGTCCTGAGTTTTCAGCGTCTGTGCAAAGACGTCATTTAGGTGTGTGCGTCTCCCTGCAGGAGCCACACTGTACAGGAAGATGAAGGCGTACCTGATGACAGAGGAGCAGCTCCAGCAGCACGGATACCCGCGGCCGAACCCCGAGGCCGCCGGCAAGGCCGTCATTTACAACCAGCCCGAGAAGAAGGGCGTCGCAGACCGTGAGTGACGCTCCCGCTTCTCCTTTAATCGCTGCTAAACTGAATTCATGTTAACAGCAATATGAACGCGATCTGTTCTTCTGCAGCGTTTAGCAAGATATGCTGTCGATGCGGCGCCGAGTATAAGGTCAACGTCAACGGCAGCTGCGTGCGGAAGGAGGAATGCAGCTTTCACTGGGGACGTTTGCGCAGACACAAAGGTGCGTTTGCTTTATTCATCAGAAGAGCATCCCCGTCAGTCTCCCAGTCGGCACCTCAGCCATCTTTGCCTTTGCCTTCTGCTTCATTCACTTTCTTTCATTTGTTTGTATCTGCTCCTGTCTGTCTCCTCTCTTCAAGTTGCTGGAGGCTGGGAGACCAACTACAGCTGCTGTGCTGCAGCTGTGGGCGCTCCAGGCTGCCAAACGGCCAAGGTACCCTTAAAAGAAAGCACCACATAACAGGACAGCACACTCCCCATCTACATGTATTAATACTCCGTGTATTTAATACAACACTGTAAAGACTGAAATATCTTCTATATGTGGCTTTTTGGACCTTTCTTCAATCTTTTGGCAGAATTGGGGGGGAGCACTGGTTTTCTGCCGTTTCCAGTTCCTTCTACAGGTGCTTGATTGGTCCTGAGCTGGGACACTCTTGTGGTTTTTTGCTGGTGTGTTTCAGGTGTCTTGTTTAAGTTTCTTCTTCTGGGCCTGAACTCTTCACTCAGATACTCTGTAGCTTCCTGCGTCCACCTTCACATCTCTCGGGTCCCCTTTGCAGGAAAACATCACCGTTGTGCAAAACTGCACCAACTGTATTCATGAACTGATGCTAGGCGCTCTGCGTCATCAACATACGCCTTTGGGAACTTTAACAAAATAGATCAGCCGTTGTTTCAGACCACAGGACTTTTTCTTTTCATGGCCTGAGTCGCCTACATCGAGCTGCCTTTCAGCCACTGGCAGCGTGTTCATGCTGTTCTGTGTCTTCACTGTGAGAAGTGTTTGCTCTGATGTTTCCCGTGGAGCTGTGACCAAGACATTTCGTCCCACATTAGTTGGTTGGGTTTTGCGGACAGATCCAGGAGGATGTTTCCCATCATTGTCTTTTTTAATGTTGCAGAGATTTTCTTAACATCCTCACATCTGCGCTTTGACACAATCTTGTCTC